TTTCCTTCTCACGCTTCTTATTCTCATTTTCGTTTTTCATGGTATCTTTTAATTGGTATAAACCCTTTGCTGGGTAATTTTCTCAGATTTGTGTTCCAGTTAATTGATTCTCTCTTTAACTTGGTCTGATCTCTGTGTAAACTATTTGTGGAGAGAAGACCGGGTCGGGCGCGTTCAGGCTGCTATGGCCAAAGACTGTGCAAACTATTTGTTAAGGTTGTAAATTTCAGTAATGATTTTTCTGTGTTTCCCCCTCCCCCATCCCCCACCCAAATTGGCTTGGTCACTGTCTTTTTTTCTCATGTTTTTCATTGTTTCCTTTTGACTTTAATAATTGGATATATGCTTATATATTATCGCTTCTCTGATCATTCCGTTAAGTTTTTTCAGAGTCTTATTCTACTATTTGGTGGATTTTCCAAGTCTTGTTTGTGATGGCTTCTTTGTGCATAAACTTTTGTATTTTCTGTTGTGAGCTCATCTTCAACAGAGCTTTATTTGTGGGAATCATACTCTGATTAAGGGTAGGTCTCTTCAGAGTTTTGTATTTTTTCTCCCAAATGTTACACAGTTATTGCAAGCCTGACCACTTTTTGTGTGAAAGTTTTGCCATGGGGATTTTCAGACCATGTAGTAGTACAATTTAAATCTAAAATTAGCTTATGGAAAGACCTATGGTTACAGATGATCATTTTTCCTCTTAATTCAGAGCTTTCGTATTGTTACTATGTGCCAACAGGCTAATTTTTTCCTAGTCTGCTCTGTTTTTTTGAGGGTCCTCACTTTAAATGGGGGCTCACTTTCAATTTCCTGTTTTCAGGTGGGCCCAGGGGGAATAAACAGCCCCCTTTTCCAGGGCAACTGAAAAGGCCTGACCTCATTTGCCACTGGACTTTCTAGTTCCCCCCAACATTTTTGGCCCTGGTGGATCTTCCTTGCTTTCTTGCAAGCTCAGCTGTGTAATTAAAAGGATATTGTTATATAGCCAGTACTTCTAGGAGTTTTGGCATTAAAGTTACCTACCCGGCTCTGTCGCCGTGAAAGCAGGATCTCTTCCCCCAGAATCTCTCACTCGGCTGTAGCTGCAGCATCCAGCACAGCACCTGGCACATGGGGAAGGGCTGTCAATACAGACTTGTTATTTGATTTGTGGAATTGGACGTTTCAATTAGAAACTGTTCCTTCTCCCTCTAGGGAAAGCCAGAAGTGGTGCTCCAAATCCATTCATATCCAGCAGCCAAGGTGGTGTTCTGTGTTTTAACACCTGTGAACGATTTCAATTTTCCTGTTTTTTTACTTTTAAATGCTAAAACTTCGGTGCTTTCCTAAGGACACGAAGATGCCGTTGCCAGTTACCAGCAGAGTTTTCCAACCCCATAAATTGGTGAATTAAAACCATCCCTGGGGAACCATTATTGCCCAGTGTCTCTTTATGCTGGCACTTAGAAAGTTCTTATGCTGATTAAATTGACCTTTATAGTGGCTTAGCTGAGAATAGCAACTATAAGAGATGGAAACTGTTGAGGAAAGTGTTGTTAGTCCCACAGTTTCTGCTGCCACAAAAGAGGAGATGATTTTTTGCATATGTGCAAAACATATACTATTCATCCTTTTCCGTTGTAAAAATGTTCTTTGCAGTTCGGTGCTGTTCTTGCTTGCTTCTTCCTGGTGTCTGTGCTTTTTGTTTGCGGTGACCCTTTGTGCCCTGTATCAGAGCCAGTCCCTGTGATATCTGGGCTGAAGACACATACCAATAACAGACGAAGATGCTAATGGTCATCTCCACAGTCATTCCTGAGATGAGAGGCCTCCAACATAAAGGCACATGTTATTCAGTTTCTTTGTGACAAGTTCTACATTTCTAGCATTTTTTGGTCAGGCAGTTTTGTGCAAATGAAAATATTGCTGGGAAGGAGCTGTCTTTAAAATGTAAATCTGATTTTGTCACTTCTGTGCACAGTCTGGTCCCCACTTACCTAACTTCCCTGCCTACTTCTTTAACCATCTCCTTCTAGTTAAAGGGCTTTGCTTGTACTGCCTCTTTTGCCTAGAATGTTCTTCCCATCCCTCTTCCCTTGGTTACTAACTTTCTAACCATCTTGGTGATCTTAGTTCAAGCTTACCTTCCTCACAGAAGCTGTCTGGACCTTCCCTACTAGCTCCTAGCTCTAATCTTTTGTAAGCTCTGACTATATCATGTATTTTTCTCTTTCTGGTTGCAGTTTAATCTGTGTGATTACTTTATCATCTTTCATTAGACTGCAAGCTCCGTGAAGACAGAGATCATGACCATTTTGGCCATTTGCCCATTGTGTTCCCCACCCTAATTCAGTGCTGGTGCAGGGCAGGTACTCAATGTCGAAGGAAGGAATGAAGATCCTTACTGCACGCTGGGATGAAACACTGCTTTTCAGAAAGTCAGTGTGTGATAGTACAACCTTTCAAGCAGGAAAGGGAGGAGCCCTGAGCAGGCTGTCCCTCCTCACTGCCAAGTAGAAGATGAAAGATCTGTACCCAAAGTCAAAGAGCTCTACAAGGGCAGGGTCCTTACCTTTTCCTCCAGAGACAAAATGTTGACTTTGTTTGGTTTGGGTCTTTCAGTGGATTTTTTTAAGCCACTGAAGTATAAGAAGCAACTGGACAAGTATCACCTCAACTAAGGAAACTAAAGGTCAATAGTAAGAGCTCAGGCTCTGGGGTCGGATGAAAGAAGTTTGAACGATTTTCTAGTCGTATGACCTTAAGTGAGTTGTGCAGCCTCTCGTAACCTCAATTGCCTGATACTACCTACTTCATAGGTTGCTTTCAAGTTGAGATGGAGGAATACGTGTAAGGCATTTAGAACAGTGCCTGGCACATAGCAAGTGCTCAGTATACATTAGCTATATTATTCACCCCAGGTTGCGTAGCCGTTGTTTCATTAAGCAAACCATTATGCACCAAGCGCTGTGTTCATACTGGGAATGGAGGAGGGGGGATGAGGAGACAGAGCTCCTGCCTATAGGGCGAGCACAATTCATTCTTTGGTTCACTCCTGGAGAAAGGGGGTGGGAGGGATATTTACTGCCCACTCTTCAAGACTTGGCCTGAGCAACATAATATGTATATAAAGTGCTTGGAGATGCTTAGAAGCAAGGCAAAGAGGAATCATAAAAGGTGATGAGAACTTTTCATATTTGAGCCTTATCCATTGCATTCTCTCTAGTTTCTTTTTCCGTTCTTCCTGTGTCTGGAGCAATCCACATTGCCAGTGAACTTCACTCTTCTGAAATCGTTTTGATTGAATGCAAAGTGCTATTTAGATGGGCTTTCCTGCCCAGCAATAATGGTTCACAGACTAATATTGATACTAAGAGGTCAGAGAAGTTAAGTCACTTACCCAAGGTTACATAGTTAATTAATAAGCGCAGTATAAGAGCTGGGCTTCAGACCCAGATCAACCTCTTAACCACTTCTGCCTCGCAGTGGATCTCGAGCCACCTGGAGGTGTTTGAGAGCTCTCCAGGTAATGCATGATTAGTCTCCTCGTACAGGGAAGGCTGGAAGAGTACCAGGCAGCATCCGTGCACTTCTATTCTTTGCTGTCTCTTTGAATGAGAGGAGACAGATTTTAGCAGCTCTTGGGTTGACTCAAGGCTGCTGTGTGAGGGGATGGGAGGTGGGTAGGCTAATAAAGACTTCGGGTTGAAGGAGACATGAGAGAGCATCTTTGACTTCTCCTAGGGCTACTGAGTAACTTGTCCAGGTCCTGGTCCTCTGTCGTGAGGACCAAACCCAAGAAACCTAGAAACCCAGGGCTTTCCTTTTGCACCAGCAGGGTTCTGGAGGAGCTTACCTTTGGGACTGACATCTCAACTTACCCGCCTGGTCCTCCATTTCTTCCTTGCTAAAGGCTCATGAGCCCACTTCTTTTTAAATTTTTTTTTTCAACGTTTATTTATTTTTGGGACAGAGAGAGACAGAGCATGAACGGGCGAGGGGCAGAGAGAGAGGGAGACACAGAATCGGAAACAGGCTCCAGGCTCTGAGCCATCAGCCCAGAGCCCGACGCGGGGCTCGAACTCACGGACCACGAGATCGTGACCTGGCTGAAGTCGGACGCTTAACCGACTGCGCCACCCAGGTGCCCCGAGCCCACTTCTTGTCTTCCTTAACTGTCCACCTGCTTTCCTTCATCCTATAGCAGAAAGTGACAGTTTCCATCACCAGGGCCACCTCAGGCAGCCTGGGAGCTCTATTGTGGGGCAGGGGAAGGAGAACAGGGATTGAGATTTACTGGGTAAAAAGCGTTTGAGGAACCCTGGATTAGATGCTGCTGCTCCAGTTCTGCTCTCCCTGGAAAAGTGGAGGCAGAGCAGGAAAAAAGATCGAGGTCCTGTTTATACCAGGCTTCCTGTGGGGTGGGTGGGTGGGGAAGCCGAGAGAAAAGCTGACATCAGTAGGTCGTGAAGATTACCACTTGTTTAGATGTCAGACGCGTTCCACTCCATGCCTCACTTAGGAGCAGTTGACTGTCCAGTGTTCAGAGCCTGGACCTCGTCTGGTGAATTTTCCTGAGGCAGAAGTGTCACTGGATTCTTTCATGTGTTGGAGTGTAGGCAGCACGGCCTGTTTTAGAAACTACGCGGACACTTTGAACTGTGTGCGCCTGTGCCAGAAGAATGGCATTTCAGGGCCCGGTAAACTTGGGAGAAACTTTTCGATGTCCTTCTGAAAGCAATGTTTTCCTCTGAAGTCAAGGAGGGTGTGTTCTAGCAAAAGCAGCGAGGGAGCCCAGATCTGCTTTCTCCATGTGCACCAGGCCTCAGAGGAGACTCGTGACCAGACAGCCCCCGTCCAGGTGTTCCATTTTGCTTATGGTGGACGTGGGGAGGCGGGCCTGTTGACAGTGCTGTGAAACCCTCACTGTCAGAACTTACAAATGCCTTTCCCGTGTTTCCTTCTTCCTCCACCCCTTTACACAAGGCTGTGAGGCTCTTAGAGACCAGGAAACGCCTAAGCGTATGTGGTAGAGCCCTGCACCGAGCCTGGGATCTGGTCTTCAGCTGTGCCCTCTCCCGCATCCTCGCCTGTGACACCAGGCACTTGCATGGTCTCCGCCCGGCCTTAGTCCTGTAGACGGTTGCTGGAGTGCCTTGTTTATACCCCTGGCCAAGAAGACAGTGGAGTGTAAAGTGAGGCCCAGAGAGGAGGAACTGACCGTGTGACTTAAGTTTCCACTGGCAGGCGTCCGCCCGGATGTACACTGTGGGCAGGGTCAGCCTGAGTAGCAGCAAATACAATACTGTGGTTTTAGTTTCTTTGCTGAGCAGAGTTTTTTTCCAACCTCGAGTTTCTTGAGGATGAGGACAATGTCTTATTTATCTTTGTATCCCATGTACCCAACACGGTGCTTGGCACAAAGACAGTGTCCAGTAAGTGGACATGTTACTTCTTTAAAATAAAGAAACGTTGAAAGCCAGATAGAGTACATGACTTATGTGCTCCTGTGTCTCCCCATATGTGTTGGGGGTCCACAGTACATTTGGGGCTGAAGTTCAGGTTGGCTGGTCAGGTATCTCATATCTTAGATGTGAAATGTCAAAAAAACATTTTCACCTCCATCCTCTTCCAGAGCTGTGAATAGAACTTGGCACCCCGCGAGGTGGTTACTCAGCAGTGCCCATTCTGGAGCTGTCCCTGACAAGGCACAGTGTGAATCCTAGGTCCAGTCAAGATTATTAAGAGATCATTTGATAAGCAAAAAATTATCTAGCAAATTGAAATTGGACAAGGTCACCTGAGCAGGTTACCTCTTTTCTTAAGAGCGAAAATTTTAGTGGCAAGTTATTTTAGCTCTCTTTGGAATCACACTGTATTTGACCTTGAACAGTGTGTTGTTTTGAAGGACAGAATGACTGACTAGATGCTAATCCTAGAATATGTACCGCGTTAATTGTTCCAGGAACTTTCACAGAAAAGCTGGTTTTATTTAAAACATCCTGCTCATTACACGAGAACCATCATCCTTTTACTGGCTGAGTTCAGCCCTGGAATGTGAAGGTGAAGTGTTTCTGTTCGGACATAAAGAAAGTGAGGCATCCATTTCCTGTCTGAGGAAAACTTCGGTGTTTACCAGTCAGCTTTGTGTGCTGAATCCTCTTCCCCCTTTAATAAACCTTGGTTGTTTTTCGTCAATCTGCTGCTGTTGTGTGGTTCTTTCTAATTTTTTTTTTCCTTTGTGGAATGAACATTGGTATAGACCACCTTGATGGAAGGGGAGCAGACAACCAGGAAGAGGGTGATGAGAAGAAAAGCGACATTTAAAAACTATAATTTAATATGCCAAAATGTTTTTTCGATTTTTTTTTTTTTCTTTAGGATAAGGAAACCTGTGTGGGTACCAACAATCAAAGCTACATCTGTGACACAGGACACTGCTGTGGACAGTCTCAGTGCTGCAACTACTACTATGAACTCTGGTGTAAGTCCTTGCCCCCTGGGGGATCTGTGGCACTCCAGGGTGCTCCTGGTCACGGTCTCTGCTCATTGGGAAATGGTGGACTGGGCCATGTTTCTTACTCTCTTGGAGGAGGTGTTGCAAGTAGAAACTGTTGCTGGGTTCCAGATGCGATTCCTCTGTAGAGGACTGGTCCAGTGCCCTTTGGGCACCATGGGCTAAAGACTAGAAAATAGGGTCAGAGTCTTCTGAAGAGGCCATGGGTATGAGGTCTGCTGCAGGAACTCCTGCCTGGGGTTCTCTCTGACGCCACCTTCAGGGTGTCCTGAGCAGTGGTAACAATACACCCTTCCACGAGCCAGCCCAGACACCCAGGCTTTGCCATCTTTGCGAAGAGAGGTTGCAGCAGCCGACCTGTGAATGCCAGGCGAGGCTTTGTGGAGAGCTGTAGTGTTGTTTTCTTATAACAGCCTTAAGGACTTCCAGGATTCCTCATAGAGCATCAAGGAGCTGCCTCTGTTTCTGAGGGTCCCTGTCAAAGGGACCTTCTCCTAGGTCCCTGCCCATGGAGCCTGTCTGAGGTTGCCTGTCAAAGGGACCTTCTCCTAGGTCCCTGCCCATGGAGCCTGTCTGAGGTTCCCTGTCAAAGGGACCTTCTCCTGGGTCCCTGCCCATGGAGCCCTCTCAGGGTGAGGGAGTCTAGAGGTTTAGCCCCTTTGTTTCTTTCCCATTTCTCAAGCTGAAGTGTCTGGAGGCTTGCTTCTCCAGTGTACCTCCCCTGTTAACTCTCAGCTAATTGCCGTGTGCAGACAATCCTCTTCTTGCCACTGGTTTGTTTGAGGCCATGAACTTGCACCTTTCAGGCTTGCCCAAGAGTGGCGACATCACCGTGATCTTCAGGGAGGGAGCCAGGTTCGAGGAGTTCACTAACACACTTTGGATTCCAATCTTCTCAAAGCTTGGATGAGACCCTACAGGATGCTGGACAACGAATTGGGAGGACAGGAGAGTCCTTAGGGCAGGGTCCCCAGGTGACCAGCACTGCACTGGTTCTCACAACTGTCTGTAGAGAGGAGAAACAGTAGACTGTTTCCCCAGATAGTTCTAAGCTCCTGTCACTCCTTCTGTTTGGAAACAAACTGGGCTGGTTTGTCAAACTATGCCTTTGCTGCCAGTGTCACCCTGTCCTTTCTCCCCTTCCTCTGTCTGATCTCCCCACTCCCTCCACATCAGTGATGTGGTCGGAGAGCTACAAGTGCTATTGTTTAGTATGGAAAGGAAATTAGATTCTTGGCTGGTCAGTCTCTCCCTCTAAATGTAAACGTATTTTGTAGCCAATGGGAGTGGTTCCTTCAAACAGGACCTCTCCTCACCCTTATACTTCCCTTTCAAGGACTGAGGACTGGCTTGTCCTTTCTGAGGAATCCCAGGGGCGGTCAAATGCATACTTCCTTCCCAAGGAGACGACAGGGCTCAGGATGTCCCCACCATTCCTCCGTGAATATAAGCAACAGCAAAGGAGGGCCCAGAACTGTTGCTATTTTAGAAGGGGTGGGGCCGAGGGACTTAGTAGAGGACACAAAGTGCCAAGCAGGTGAACAGACTGTGTTTAAATGTTTTAAAATGTAGATAACCACAGGGTTCAAATTCTCCCTCCCACCCCTTGTTAAAACAAAAGTCGAAGCTGGACTGCCAAAAAGCCACAGAACTGCAGTTTGTTTTTCCGGGGCCTGGCCCAGGCAGCATCGGTTGTGGAGAGGCATGGGCTTGCTGATGGCCTCATCTCAGACTGACAGAGCCTCCTGGGACCTTGGCGGAGCAGGCTCCGTAGCCACCAGAATTGGGTCACTGTCGTCAGGGTCGGGGGGGGGGGGGGGGGGCGGGCAGCGGGGACAGGGAGACCCAGATGGCAGGGAGGCAGCCTGGGAACCAGGCACCTCATCCCAAGGGCTTAAAGAAAGCCAGAGGAGGAGCTGCTAAGTGGCTGATTATCTCCAGTTATGGTCAGCGGGGGGGAAAGGAGGAGGCTAGAGACCAGAGTCCGGACAGGGAGAAAAGACTTGCCACTATATGAGTTGGTCCACGCTTTCTGAGTTCTGGAGGGATGGAGGTTATAAAAGCAAAACTGTCCTCTTCAGTGCCCAAAAGTGACTTCTTAGTCAGGAGATGCCCAGTGAGTATTCTGCCTCCCTCAGAATTCTTTGGTTTTCTTCCTTATCGGGTCCTGGCCTCTGCCTGATGTGTGTATAGAGGGAAGTTGAGTGTTGGAATGAACCCCTTCAATTCTTACCAAAGCTGCATTTTTGGGGTGCCTGGGTTGCTCGGTTGAACATCCGACTCTTGGTTTTGGCTCAGGTCATGATCCCAGGGTTGTGGAATCGAGCCTCGAGTTGGGCTCTGTGTTAAGTGTGGAGCCTGCTTAAGATTGTCCCCCTTCCCATTCTCCCTCTGCCCCTCTCACCTGCTCGTGCGCTGTCTCTCTCTCTAAAAAAAAAAAAAAAAAACACCACCACCAACAAAAAAACCCCCCTGCTTTTTGGTCATTTTGAACCCCTTTCCTTCTGATTGCATCTAAACTTTGTCCGAAATGCAAAAAGAATGGGCTTTGGGTTATTCTTTTTGTCTCTTTCCTTTGGAAGGAAAAAAAGTCTCAGCCAGGAAATCCTTGGCAGAATTTCTGTCAGACCGAGTACCTCTTTAACCACAGTTGCCTACAGGGAAGGCCTCAGGGAAAAAAGGGAAAAATGCCATTTCCACCAACCCTTTCATCTCTACTGAGCTGAATTTTCCTGTGTGCCGAAGAGTGTCGTGTGCGCGCGCGCGCGCACACACACACACACGCACACACGCACATACAGACCTTAGGCTTCATCAGCACCCTTTCTCCCTTTCAGTTGTAACCTAAGCCAGTAGTTATTACTGGGCCTGCATCAAATGGGAAGCGAAGGTCCTGTTTTAGCACTAAGGCTATAAGGGCTGGTCATCATCATTATTGTTACCCCATGCATTTTTATGGCACTTGTACTTTAATTCATTATTCAGTCATTTATTCATTCAGTAAACCCTTACTCCAGTGGTTCTCAAAATTTGGCAAGCATCCAAATTTCCTGGAGGGCTTATTAAAACACAGAGCTCTCGGCCCTGCTCCCAGTTTTTTATTCAGTAGGTCTGAGGTGGACTTGAGAATTTGTGGTCCTAACAAACTCCTACTTGATGCTCTGACCTCTTCTGTGTTAGAAACTGTGGGGAGTCATACATAATCCTTGCTGTCAACAGGGAATCTCCTAGCAGAGAGAGGAGATAAGACACAGCTCCCCACTAGTAACACTGAGAGTGGAATGTATGTGGCAGGACCACTGTGAATGTTCAGGAGAGTTTGCTTTGGCTAGCCAAGATTCAGGCAGCCTTCGTGGAAGAGGTGGGATTTGAAGTGCACCCTAAAGGGTGGATAGGATTTAAACTTATGAAGAACATAGGGGCCCCTGGGGGGCTTAGTTGGTTAAGCATCTGACTTCAGCTCAGGTCATGATGTCACAGTTCATGGGTTTGAGCCCTGCATTGGGCTCTGTGCTGACAGCTCAAAGCCTAGGGGCTGTTTCAGATTCTGTGTCTCCATCTCTCTCTCTGCCCCTCCCTCCTCACGCTCTCTCTCTATCTCTCAAAAATAAAATAAACGTTAAAAAAAAAAATTAAACACATGAACATGAAGAAGGGTACAGTGGCTTTGCAGGCAGAGGAACAGCATAGGCCAGGACCCCATGGGAAAGAACATTGTACGCGTGATGTTGTTCACCCTTCCCCCGGGCCTGTGGGGCTTGTCTGGGAAGGAGCAGGAAGTGAGCTAATGTGCACAGAGCTCTGCTACATATGAGGCACTGGTAAGGTCTTCAATCACATCATCTCCTTTCACCCCAAGAGCAACCCTGCTAGGTACGCATATCATCCCCATGTCCTGACCCAGGGGCGTTAAGTAACTGTTCATTTGGATGCAGATGACTGGTAGAGTCAGTATGCCTCCCTCCAAAGCCACCCCCTTCCAGAACTATGAGCCAGACTAGAAGGTGATGGTCCCAGGTCGTGGAAGGTCCGGAATGTGCGTGTTTAATTTCCACCTGAGGATGCCCTTCATGGCACAAGTAGAGCAAAGAGGAAAACCAAAGGTGAGAGAGGCCACCAACATGCTCAAGGCTAAAGATCCTGAACCTGGATCTCCCGATTCTCATCCTAGGGCTCTTTCCACTCACCAAGCTACATTGTCCAGGGAGAGGTCAGAGCTGGGAATTTCTGCTCCTGAGATAATTTGAGGGACCTTCACCCGGGTATCAGTTTTCCCTTGTTTGGGCCTTAGTTAGGGAGAGGGGAGTGTTTCTGGGCAGTGGAATCCCTCTGAGGTGACATGAAGTTCTGTTTAAGACTGCCCCGCTTGTTTTCCACCTGTTAAATTTTCCTTTTTAGTTATCTTAAGATGTCCATTGTTGGGCTGCTTGTAAGGAAGGCCCATGGCATTTGCCACCCTTAGCAGGGTGGAGAGTGGGAAGCTGGGGCCTTCTTCTAAGCCCCGATTGGACCCCTGCTCCTAGAGGTCCAGGCTTCTGGACAAAAGTAGGTTCCTCAGTAGTACTTGGGCTAGCTTTCCAATGAATGTAGCCAAGAACAGAACTGAGAAGCAGACTTTGGACTTGTTCCACTGTTGCTTTTTTACGGAGTATTTTTTGGGGGGAATAAAAGAGGAATGGAAAGAAAACCCTTCCCATAGGTGGTCATACCTGTAACAAGAATAGTAGTAACAATCTAGAGAACTTATTATATGCCAAGCATGGTTCTGAGGACTCTCCATATATCAACTTGTTTATTCCTCACAGTGACCGGTAAGGTAGAAACTGTTATTCTCCCATTTTACAGGTGAAGGAAGTGAAAACAAAATTACCAAGGTCACAAAGCTAGGAAGTAGTTTTGTGAGCTGTGATTTGAATCCAGGTCACTGCCTCTTCCCTTCTGTAACTGCAGTCATGCTTATAGGAAGC